TTCTTGGATCCCAGACCCTTTTGGAAAGCTATTATTTCCAAAATGTGATTTTATGTTACAGTCACCACATAAACAAATTGGTCTCAAAACAAGTTAGAACTGAGCTTGAACTAATTCTTTCATTTCTGTGATTCAGAATGATTAAGCATGTGTCCCCGAGTCTTGAATTTCTTTATAATCCTGTTATTCAGTAGTGCTTATTCTGCACTTTCAGTCTCGTAGTCACAACCCACTTGACTGGCGTGGTGGAAAGTGTCAGACCTTGAGGAGGTGTGGAGAAGGTGCTGACGGATTTTTTTTTTATTTTATTTTTTTTAAGAAAAAGAAATGAGCTTTTGAGAATAACATTTAGAGGACAGATGGGGGAAATACAAAATAGGAGTTTGACTTGCAGGAAGAAAGAACAAAAGAGGAGATGGAAAAGGAAGAAGAGAAATGGATACAGAAGACATTTCAGAAAGTGTTGACTGTTAACACTGGGGAGAATGAGGAATGAAGGGTAGAAAAACAGAAGGAGGAAGGTGTAGTAACCCCTCCAAGTAGCTTAAAACAGAAAACGGATTACCCTCCAGAGTTCAGCATAGCTCACAAAGGAGCGTAGATAGCCTTTAATTCCTAATAGCATGGGATTTAATACTAAGGGATGTGGCTGGCATGTTCAGACACCGTCACTTTTCATCACTGTGATCCTCCTTTGTCCATAAAACAAGACACCTTAACTCAGAAACGTGGTCCCCCCTGGCCAATCTTTACGGGCAGATGTGCTGCAGTAATATGCCAACACATGTCTTGTGCTTGCAGGGTTTCCTTCCCACATGGCCATAATGAGAGCTCTGCATATAAGAGTTTCTAATTTACTCTTACCCTGAAGGATAACATAAGCAATATGGGGATGTTGTTAAACACGGTATATGTTTATTGCTGTGAGCTGCTTTCTCCTTACCAGTTCCATGGGTGAAAAGTGACTTATTTCCTCAGAAGGCTTCTTATTCAGGGTATATCAATTGGTCATGGAGAAAATCTTTAAAAGAATTATGAGAAGACATACTAATAAAAAACCCCAAAACAAAATTGCTGGCATGCAGCCTTAGAGTTCAGTGTGGGAGCTTCTCCTTCCCACAGGGTGGAGGGAGAGTAGTGTAAACTCATGTACAGCACCTCTTTACATACACAAACATAAATAATTAGAGTTAGTTTGTCGTGTTGGAAATATAGTTAGTATCAAGCCTTGGCTCTATTCCACTTTTGCTGTTTTCTTTAAGAAAAAATAAATGTGTGTGGCCATAAGTTTGATTTATGTTATAAATATGCATTACTAAAATCGACCCTATTTGCTCATGTGCCAAAATTGTCCCAGCAGGAAATTTGGAGAACCCAAATTAATTGCTATGGCTCCTTGGTTATTCTGCTTTTCTGGCTCCAACCACGGCTCTGGCCAAATCCAAGCTGGAACGGAGCAGAGCGTTTCTGCTGTGTGATCAGGTACACCGTGCCCAACGGGGACAGATGACGGAGTCGCTGGTGCCGCTGGCTGTTTACCAGGGACAAATTCCCGTCTGATGGGAAGATGTAACTAGATTATGCACCCTTTAAATTATTGCTCGCTGGGCAAAAAATGGTGCTGCCCTCCTGCAGCTTGGGATTTGTTCCCTGGGACATTCAGGGTGGTGGGAATGGTAGCAGAGGTGAGCTACGCCGAGTACCTCTAACGGCGTACAACTCACCCATAATCTCAGACCTTCCAGGTTGAATAATACCCTAAAAACAAGCTTATAATACGCTATTGAGATTTTTTTTCCCGTCTCAGGGGTATCTGCAATGCTGGGCACACGTGGTGCCTTTTACTGTGCTCATTTGCAGCTTGAATGGCTCGCGGGGGTCAGCAGCAGAGTGCAGACTTTTTCACCCCTTGAGCAATGAAGCATTGAGTAAAAGTTATTATTACCAATTAGTGGTGGCATTATTATTACCAGTTAGTGGCTGTATGAAGCAAATCATTAGTCTTAGTTCAGTTATTAGCAGGCAGGTGTTCGTGAAACGTGCCATGTGCAGCTAGCATTGTACCTCAGCAGTCACCGTGGAGGCCAGTCACTGAATTTGTGATGTCTCCATGCTGTCCCTGCATGGGGTTTTGTTGTCCCCTCCCCAAAAAGAAGCACGTTTGGAGTCAGTGTGGAGGGGTTTTTTGTTGCTGCCAGTGTTGTGTACCTTGTGAGTGAATAAATAAGGCAATTTCAATCTCTAGACCAGTATTCTGAAACCTTCAATATACTGAACTCATGATGTAAAGCCAAAAATTACATTTCTAGTTTTGACACCGGTTGTTGCTTCATTTGTAGGAGCAAAATTGCCATGTCAGAGAAGGGAAAGTTACAGTGCAAATTACTCTTAATCAAAAATACTGTTTCTCTGGGACTCCTGTTTTTGAAACCCTTAATACACAATATTTCCACATACCCATTAGTTTTGCATAACGACTTAACACAAGACATTTTAGACAGCAAGCAGCATGAATTAAGTTCTATTTAAGAAGTTAAATTGTACTTTTATACTGTGTTATAATTAAAAAAATCAGGAAGTTAATGGGAAAAAAATGGAACTATCTTTAGCATTACTTCCATATTGAGCTATGTATTTAACTTCAGTGCATTTTGCAAGAGGGATTCATAGCTGTAGGTCTATAACTATATAGAATAACTAATAAAATAAGAAAAGTAAGAATATCTAATAAAATTTTGATATACCAAATACTTTTTGCGTAGAATTGACTTTAATTGTGTAATTAGAATAGGCATTAGAAATCTTTTTCATGTTTCTTGGAGTAATGAGGAGGGGGTTGGAGTGCTGTTTTCTCTTTCGGTGATTCAGATGTCTTCTGATTTTCAATATTAGTGAAGAAAGGATTTGAATGACAGTTTCTCTGAGGACAGTTCAAAGCGAATGAATTGTAGGATGGCATCAGTCATGTCAGGTCAGTCTGAGCACTAGTTGGGTAGGGACATCTGGTGGTGCAATAAAGGAATAATTGAACACTTGCAGCTCAAAAATGCAGTTACATTGGAGTGACGAAGGCAAAAACATCATTATGCTCATACTGTGATTACTTTTCTGTTTCAATATTGTTCTAGAAACATATGCATGTTTACATTTCGGTTTGTGTATGTTTTTAATTTACTGGAAAAGCAAAGTAGAAACTAGGGCCCTATTCTTGAGCTGGCAGTTTGCAGACGTAATGTATTGAATGCCCTTAACTCAAAGGGCATTTATGTTACACTCAACTGTAGGTTTAAAATCAAAGTCGTGATACCGGGCTGTGGTTCTGTGGATAGGGCGGGGGTGTGTAAACCCTGTGCACTGGGGCTCCGTAGTTCGGCCAGTGATTTGTTGTGATCTCTGGGCAAAGCTGACTTCATTTGTTTCAGTCCATCACTCACCAATTGTTTCAATCCATCTTTCAGTCCATCTTTCTGTAAAAGCGCTATGATAATTTTCAGCTTCTGAATTCCATAGGTAAAGAATCATAAGAAGTAAAATGTTTACATATCTTTGGTTACAAAGTTCTCTGTTATTTAAAAGTACAGTAAGCAATTTTATTTGTATGTGTTTACCTTGAATCCCTGTAGATCACGTATACGTAACCAATATTTTAGGTGCAGTCATTTTAAAAGAAACTCTTTAGTATGATTTTTTTGGTGCTGTTTGTAACTGTGCCTCATACTTATTTATCACTGTGCACACGGTGACAAACCCAAGTCCTTGGAAACATATACGTTGAAGGCCATACCCTTGGGAAGAGTTTCCCAGGAGCATTTAATGCTGTGACCTCCTACCAGCACTGCACCAGGTCCTTGCCTGCCAGGACAAAGCAAGACTTTCTTGATCTGTGAACATCTTTCATCTCCTTACGTTCTTGCTGCTGTTCGTGTGTGCCCGGCCGTCGGTAGGAGGATGGATGGTGTCTTCTGGGAGGTGGTGTAACGTGCACAGGCTTTCCAGCGACAACGTGGTCCCTGCAGGCAGCAGGGAAAGGGTTGTGTTCATCTGCTCCCACTTACCAGGCTTTTGCAACTGCCGTCCTGTCCTCCCTTAGAGTAGACGTGCTCTTGAAATGATGGTGTTGATAAGTTACTAGTTTGTGCTTTATGTATTATGTCAGGAATGCATTTTTACCATGATGTATTCCCCATGCAATTCTATAAAAAGAATGGCGGGGGGGGAACCAAGTATCTGCTCCGTGCTTTGCTACCAACATGACACTGAGAAGTTTTCCAGGAAGAATCTGTAGCAGCTGCAAGCTTCAGTTCCTTTCCTTGTATCTGGGGCAGAAGAAAGTCAATAACCTAAATCTTTCACAGCCAGTTACAGACTCTTTACTGTGGTCATTATTCACACAAGGAGCACTGTAGTCTGTAAGGAAGCATATACATGATCAAGCTGAGAATCACAACAACCATTATATAATTGAAAAACCAGGATTTTCAGATTGAGAGTTGTCTTAAAATAAGGAGCTGCAGAGATCAGCACTCTGCAAAGTAGAATAGTTTATCTCAAAGTCAGAATAACTGTTCCCTGCAGCTCTTCACAAGAGGATGGGTATTTTATTGAGGTCCAACCCTCCTTCCTCCACTCGCAGTAATATTTAAATTTTGTGAAACTCATCATGGCTTCTTTTCCGTAAAGCAACAATTCTTTGTCAAATGCATTCTTCCATTGTCACCCGAATGGTTCTGTCACCATCCTTGAAAAATTTCTCCACTTTTGGTTTGGATAAAAGAGAGAAGCACTGGCATTTTTATGCTGTACCCTTTGTTTCTGAGATGTCCCAAGGCTGTGGTGACAACTGTGAAGTTGGGGATAGCCACAGACTTGTTACAGATGTGCTGTTTTCTGTTCATGAGAAGCTGGTGTTCATCCGCTGCCCTTCTACACAATATTTAATCTGTAACACTTTATTTTGCAAGCAGCCCATTATAGAAAAAACTGTTGTTTTTACGTTTCAGGTGCAAAGATGGCTTGAAAGGATTTATATACTCTGCACTAAAGTAAGTAAAGTTTCTGTGAGTACGTAGCTTAAAGTGAAGATTTTGAGGAATCATGCACAGTGGCAGCTGCACTGTATGAAAAGATTTTTCCTAAGAAAAATCATGCTGCTATAAAACTTTTTAAACTTTTGGGGTATACAGCATATTTTGAAGAAGGCATAATATGCTGGCAAGAGAGGAATCTTTTCATATTTGGGACCGTTATTAAAGGCAATGCAGACATACGGTTGCATGTTTTTGGAGGAGTGTTAACCTTTTCTCTTTCTAAAACTGGGATTTGCGATTTCCAATATTCTTCTGGAAGCAAATGGCTGCTGTGTTTTAACCTGGAGTTTATTTGCTGCATTTACAAAATGTTTAATGAAGACAACAGTAGTTCTGTAACCAGCACCCAAATAAAGCATGGATTTGTAGCATATTAGTTTGAGATATTCTCAACGTGCCACTAAACCTTGTGTCTGCCATCGTGGTCCAGGCTCTCCTAGAATTTACTTTGCAACGGGACCCTCTGGTGTTACTCACTCATTTGTTGTAGTTATACAAAGTTCTCCCGTCTTCATGTCTTGTGTCAGAAGTACAAAGACACTTTTTCCTTATCTTTCCCTTACATACTCTGCTGTCTACCACTCAGCCCAGTGCGTGGATGGTATCAACTCACAGGTGAAGTCAAGCAAGACAGACTTGCTGTTGTTGGTAGTGGGAAATATTTTATAGAGTTTACAGCTATGAAACAGCCATGGAATTTGATATAAGGTGCCAACAGTTAAATAATTCGGTCTGCAGTCCAGAAATATGGACGTGAAACACTCCTATGGCAACATGCAGAAACAGTGCTTTCTCAAATCACCAGTTCACGGTCCCATACTGAATGACAAATTTTTTTATACCTTCATCACCCTGAGCAAGACTGCCACAGTACAGTGTAAGTTGTAACTTGGATTATAGTGCAAAGTGTTAGGAAACATCTTCCCATTGTGTCCTCTGTTGCCCTCAATACACAGTAATTCTACACCTAAGATGAACTGGTATATTGACAATATCAATTTCTGGGTGAAGAAAAGAGGCTGAAGATGAAGCCAAGCAAAACAAAGTTGATGCTTTTGGTGGGAGCGAAAACATTTTGAAGATTTTACAAAACAGATATTTTATAAAAATATTATAGTAATTATCAACCGTTATGTAACCCCATTTTGCTGGAGATAATTGAGATTTTTTTCATGTGCCTTCTTATTTTCTTATTTAGTGTTCTTCCTTTGTATGAGAGATGGACTTCCCTAGTAAGGTTTTTGTTCCTAGTTTTAAAAAATTCCTGGCAGCAATTGTGACCATTATCTGAAGTTTAAATACATGTTGGTGGAGTCACCTTTTCAGAGATACAAGGTTTGGTAGCTGTATAGGATGCATTTTCTTTTGCAGACCTGTGGGTAACTTCAAGCTTGTCTGAAAGACTTAGAGACTTATAATGGACTTCATGTATTTCTTTGAGTTATTTATATAATTGTTGTTTTGTTCTGTTTTGTTTTTTTTTCCTTCAGGTTCATTGTAGGGAAAGAAGAAATCCCCACTCATTCATTTTCACCTGAAGCAGCGTTTTCAAAAACAGATAAAAAGATAAAGCATTGTGAAAAAGTATCGCAGCCAATGAACATACTGTCTCTAACAAAAAAGCTCATGGACAAAGTGTGAGTCAAAGAAAACAAAAGAAAAAACAAAGTGAATCATTCTTACTTAGCTCATTTTAATGTTTTGTTACATTGTATTTGACAATGTTTTACAATACTTTTGCTTTGCATTTAAGTGTTTTGCATTTCATTTTTACTGGGTAGTTAGCAGTGACAAATGATGAACTCTAATGAAAGCAGAATTTAAGACCTGTATGTCATAGCAATGACTCGCAACGTGCAGTTGTCTAACAAGGGAGAGAAAATTCAATCAATTCTGAGTGGCAGAGCAGTGGTTGCTTTTTCTGCAGTTTTCAGCAAAACCGGCTCATGGCATGGTCCTGCTGGTGCTAGGAGTGATAGTAAGGAGGGGAAATTGCGTGTTTTTGAAGGAGCGTTACTTAGACCTTTCTTAGATCTCTGTAGGTGACTGTAACATCATTTTTGGGGGACCTACATCCCTGTATTGCGTAAAGGAGAACTGCCTAAGAACAGGATTGGTAGCACGTGGCCTGCCTCCGCTGTCAGGAAATAGGATATTGCAAAGCAAAGAGTGAGTCTAAAACTGTTTTGCCCGAGGCCAGATCTGGACATCTGGAGTTAGGTAAGATAGGTTCCCTCCCGGTCTACAGGTTCCAATTTATTGTCCTTCAGTATGAGCTTAAAGAAGTTACATCAGGTAGCTTTTCAGTCTGGTATGTTCAGATGATGTACTTCTGCTGTGCTTGATTTGTCCGCTTCAGGCACGTTGGGTACCACAAGGAATCATTCATTTACGGGGAAGATGGAATAAGAAAGGGACTAGAGGTCTGTTCATACCACACCTGTGAATCTTCACTTCCATTGACCTCACCAGGAGCAGTTTTATGACCAGATCTTTACCTGCTGACATGCAGGAGAGGAACAAGTCTTCCAAGTGCATTGTGTTCTCCAAGTAGTGGCATATCTTACTTGCTCAGATAATGAGCAACCATGAAGTGACCTACATCACATGGCGACTTCCTATGGTTTGCTGTGGGTTTTAATTGAAAAATACGAGGGAGGTCAGCAGTGTCTTTTCAGACACGACTGTATTAGACAACAGAAGGCCTACAAGGAGAAGACAGCTCCAGCCATATGCAGATTCTTTTAGCTGAGTTGCTTATACCTATTTTGTCTTAAATACCTCTTATTCAGTTTGCTAGAGAGAGTTCATAGCTCTTCCACTGTTCATTAAATACAAGGATCAAGGGAATATGGGTGGAGAAGAGCATTTTTCCTTTAAGGTTTTGAAACTCCCAACGCAGACATTCAGAAAACTTTCAGTTTTCAGTCCTAATGCTCTCACAGGTTTCTCTTCCATATGGTTCTTTTCAGTACAATTGAGTCTAAATATCTGTAACTTGATCACATTCTCATTACAGTTTTTGCTACATAAACTGACCTCACAGATGATTTATGGCCATTAGACTTTATACCACATGATTCAAAACTTCCAAGATACTTGACACAGTATATAAATTGTGTAATTTATTTTGCATTAAAACTTAAATACCTGGCAATAGCAAAATATAATGTTCAGACCTGGTATGATATTACTTCTTTTAATTCTACATAATGCAGGGCTAACAACTTTACAATCCACGTGTCCCACCATCCGAAGCCAGTCTCTTTTAAATGCTCAAGGCCAAATTATCAGTCCAAAGTAAGAGCTACATAAAAATCTACACAGGAGAAGAAATAGCCCAGAAGTGAACGGCTTGTAATTGAGAGAAGTCTCACACGGTATCTCTGTGCATTTGTATGTTCTGCGTTACCCTCCCCTGAACCTTACAGTGGTATGAAAGATGTAAGGACACAGATTACGGACGCTTGGTCAAATACCCTTCCGGAACCATGGAGCAGAGGCAAACTGGGAAGGGTCACATCACTTCTCCCTGTTCTTTAATTTTGTATTTAATGTGTAGCATGGCAAGAGGTTGGGTCCAAATAAGTGTGCAGACACTTCTTTCTGTACAACTAAAGTATTGTTAGTTTTTATTGTCCTTTTATGGCATCATAAAAGTTCACAGTGCCCTTCAGTGGGTAATGGGGAGACTGAGTGGTGGGAAAATAGCGCTTTATGTATTTTTAAGCAAGAAAAATTTATGAAGTCTCCTGTCGATGACGCTGAAAACAGCTACAAGTTAATATGTGTTTCATTGTGCTTTTTGCAGGTGCAAACACGGCCCAAGGCATAGATGCTGTAAACACTATGGAGATAATTGCATCTCATATTGTATTAAAGTAAGTGCAGAAAAAGTTAGATTGACAAACTCTGGCAAAGACAGGGGAAAAGTCTTTAGTCAGAAAAAGCATATGCTTAGGAAGTGAGAAAGGAGCCTGTTATTCTTCTATTGAAAATGCGACAAGCCTGAAAACAGATTTTCTCAATTTAGGATGGGGGAGGGCGGGTGGGTTAAAGTTCTCTGGTCTTTCAGATTAGCTGTAGTGAATGAATAACATAAAACGCGTGGGAAAAAAATGGACTAGCAAGCAAGGAACTTGTTTAACTATGTGGTCCGCTTCGCGGCTGAGACCACTTGCGACTCCACCCGAAATAAAGCACCTGGAATGTGCTGCTTCGGCAAGCGGTTGCCAGAGCCAGAGCCCTGGCGCACGTGCAGCTGCGCGGGGCTGGCACGCTGCTGCCGGGCGCTGGGCTCGCTCCTCCGCTCATTTATTTTAAGGGCTCAGGGTAACGAGAGATTGGTCACAGTTGCTGCACCCAGGAAGAGCTGTTTATGTCCGGTGGCGTGATTTATCCTTCGTTATTGATGTGATCAGCGCATTTTTTTTTTTTTTTTTTTTCAGAGGAGTGCTGTGTAGAGATTTGTTTTGGCTGGCGCTGGGTTGGCACAGGTGGTACCACCTGCTATGCCTGTTTTAGGAGTTGGTAAGACTCCAGAAGATCTCAATCACTTAATAATTTACCCCTTTTTATATGTGGAGCAGCAAAAATGGATTTGAGTATCTTCAGATGCTTTTGTTACATATTACTTTCAAAAATAAAGTTTTTAAATTAAAATCTTATATACAGTTAATGTTATCTCAGGAGAGCTATGCTTAAATTTAGCACCAGAAGAGATCCAGCACATTTATTCATGTACATTTATTAACAACAACATTTTGTGTTGTTAACGCTCTTTTTACGCTGCAGTATAGTAGCATACCACTGTGTAACATGGATGTAAGTTGCCCTGGAGTTGATAGGATTTGAGATGGTTCTTAAATGTTCTGCTGAATTACGATGAGAATATGCAGTAGAGCATTCACAAATAGTTCAGGATAGTTATGTCACTTTTCTGTTGTAGGTACGACATACATTTAACAGAACCCAGATTAAAATTATGGTTTTATAACCTCTCACCCCTGTCTCGGTCCAGTTAATGCTTCATTCATGGGCTCTTTTCTTCAAGGCATAACATCTTTGGGGACACAGACTTGCCATTTGCTCTGTGCTTGTTCAGTGCCTTGCCCAGTAAGTTTGCTGTTCGGTGCCTCCTGGCCCACTTTGTCTCCCATCTCCTGAGTGCTCGTGTTTGGTCAGCATTGTCTGGGAGAAAACATTCCCTGTGCCTTCATTTGCAGAGCACTCTGTGTTTTCCCCAGAGATACCACTGTCTGGCCTTTGGAATCAATGTCCAAGACTGTAATGAAGGTTATTTTCAAAACAAAGATTAAAGTTAAGCAGAAGAGATTTTATGGGTTGATATGCTGCATTTCCAGATCTCTGCTGATGGTGGTACCTCCTAGTGTGCATCTTTCTACATGGGTGCCTTGCTATAACTTCAGTCTGCTGCACATGAAGTGCTGTCTTTCATTAGGCATATTTTACAGTAATTGCCTCTTAACTACTGTTAGTCCAGACTTGCTTCCTGAGTTTATTTATTAATCTCACACAAAATCCTTATGTATTCTGTGCTGCATGCTCAGCAGTCAAATTTGTAAGTACCCTCATAACACTGTCTTATTTTACAAGCGCAGTTAGAACAAACAAGTAAGGATTTCTGTTAAGAGTACTCATAATGGAACGGATGCCTCTTCTCCATGGAAAACTGTCATAATCTGCTGGAATAATGATTGTTTGTGTGAGACTTCGTGGGTAAAGAGAGAGGTGATCTGACCATTACAGAATATAATGAGCTTGAAGTGCCTTTAAAATAGAAGGGTGACCAAGAAATAGGAGTCAGTCACTCTAATGGAGTGACCCAAATCTGACTCCAGGTTGTGAGTTCCTCAGACTACAATAGACCATCCCCACACTACTCTTTCTAGCCTTTTTTAGGCGAGTAGGAAGATGTGTTAATGATGAAAAAAAGAGGAAAACCAAAAAGGGGATATTCAGGAGTCTCTGTCCTCTTCAGTTGTTTATTCAGCATCATTTTGTTCACATTTCATATACCCTCGAAAGGGGATGAGCAGAGAAGAAAACCCAACTGATAATGGAGCTGAACTAAGTCTTGACCTGACTAAAAATAAAAATTAAAAAAAGACATTTTTATAAGGCTGCTCTCTCTTTAGAGAAACCAGTTGTGCATTTGAACTAGACTTCATTCTTGTACTAGTCTTGTATAGTATTTTAGTATAAATTATTCTTGACTACAATAATATAATCAGGGAAATATCACTGAAGTGGCAGCCAGATCTTTGAATATCTTGCCTTTTCTGTGACTCTTTTTTAAATTAAAACATGAATGAAAAATTTTATTTTGATGTCTTTGGATTTTTAAAGATCAAAAATTCTTAAAGCATTTTCAGTTCTGTCTATGGCTGTTCCTGGAGTCAGATCAGTAATAACTGTCAGCTGACATGATTTGAGCATGATTTTGTAATTCTGTATCTGTAAGGGAGCTTTCAAATCTGATAATGATCTGATGAGCTGCTTATTGCCAAACTTTCCCCTCCATGCTATATTTTCCCTTACCCTTGTCATCTTACTATCATATCTGTGCTTTAATTGTCACTGTATGCTCTTTTTCTCCTACTTCACATTTAAATGTACATTAGCTAGTTGACATAATCCGTGATAGCTTTTATGTAACATTTAGGAATGACATACCACCTGATTTAACAGACTTCCCTTCAAGTTTGAAGTACTTAAAATACTTTGGGTCTGTAAATGTCTGGAAAGAGCTACTAGAAGCAGTCAAACAATATTTTTCCTCTTTTGTTATTCCAGTTGGTTACAATGAGGAGCCATTAGCCAGCAGTAGTAGTCCAGTTGTCCATTTTTTCTGCAGATGCTGCAGATGACACCAAATGACCCTCACAATTTATCTAATGGCTAGGATGACCAAAAAGAATATGAGACTATTTTCTGATGATTGTAATCTCTGCATTCTGTCTCTTGAAAGAACATGGGCAACTGTATACCCCAAACAAATTTTAGATATCTTAACAAATTAATTTTAAATTTTATTTTTTTTTAAGTAATTCCTAATATGTTGCCACAGGTTGACTGAGTTTTGGTATGTTACTGAACTCTGTTTATGTGCACACACGTGCTTTTCTGAATTTGAGTTATAGCCGATATCTTGATGGTATTATTAATTTTTTAAGAAATCTGTTGCTCAAAAAAACCAAAAAAGGGTTTATTCAATGAGTTTTGCAGATGTGTAGTTTCACTGTGCTGCTACTTCTGGCTGATCTGAGTCCCAACTCAAAATCACTGTGGAGAAATGGCTCTTAGCAGAGTTTTCTTCGATCACTTATCCTTGTTATAGTGTCCTGCGTATACTCCACTGTTTTCAACCTCCGTTATCATTTGAGGTCTTTTTATGGAAGAGAAAAGTTACAATATTCTGCATTGATTATAAGATGTAATACTTTCTGTGACTCTGAAAAAGATCTGTAAGTGTGATATGGATTCATCTGGTTGATTTAATGAGCTAAATAGAAAGATTTTGTGCACTACTTACTGCTGTTTGGTGCACACCAAACTAAGCCTCAGTCCTTCAGTTCAGCACTTCCAAGTAGGCTACTCATAAAATTAAAATCACAGATATATTTGAGTGTTTCCAGTTGGGATTTAAGTGTTTCCAAATGCAGTGTTCCTCACCCCATTAGAGTAACCTTTCCTACAGCTGAGTGAAAATGTCAAACATAGCATACTGTTGTTTGTTCTCTTATTTTGGGCTTTGTTCATAACTGCTGGTTTTAGGATTTTCTTTTTATATAATGGTACCTGGTATCGTAATCATATCTTTTTTTTTGGAAGATGAGGGCTGTGTAGTTCACACTAGGGTACTTAATTTCAGGTGCAAATACACGTTCATCTTAATTTTGACATCTTAACTCCACAAAATTCACAGTGCATTTACATCTCTGCCTACCTCTCCTACCTTTCAGTAGGCGTTTTCATTACACGATGAGAAAACACTGAGTTGTTAGCTCTTTGGTATGTACAATTTACATACCTTTAAGAGCAGCAGACAAAGTAGTGGAAATTTTTCATTCATAGCTACTGGATCATCAGATGACACAACATATTTTCTTCCACTTGATTCGCATAAACCACTTCTTGAGTGGCAGGGAGAGTAATTGCTTCAGGAAGAGTTTATTACTGGATGTTTAACCGCAATAAAATTTTTTGAGCTTTATGATGCATTATAAAGTTCTGTAGGACACAAAAATGTTTTGAGTTTCTGAGTTTGAAAGGTTGCTCAGTCAAACCCTCTGCCATTTGTCCCTGTAACTGGAATTGTCTCGGTGTCCCTGAGTATCTTCTGAAAAATGAACTACAGCATTGGGTGCCTGCCTTATTTGCCAGTAGTGAGTGCACAGATAGTTTTCGGATAAGGCATCTTCCAACCAAAAAATGGATGGATTTTATTCCGAATGATGAGAGAAGTTCAGCCATAGGGTAAGAATAATGATAGGAAGCTTTGGAAGAAATTATAAGAAACTGGGGAGAAGAATTTGGAAAGAAAAAGTCAGTGTGGTTTTGTGACATGGTATAAAAAAGCAGATCTCTATCCAAGGTGGAGTAGTAAGAAAAATTTGTTGGAACTCATGTTATCCTTTCTCAGTAGCTCTGCACAGAATCTTCCTTCCAGTTTCACCCTTTCTCTTGCTGCAGGCATCACTCAGCCTCCAGTTTGGTTGAGGGAAAGTACGTGAGCACGTGCCAAGCCACTGGGGTCAATTTCTAATTCTCACACTTTCTGAAATTTATTTTTTGTGGACTTTTTCCTCCTTTAGAGCTTTCTCCAGACATTTGAGTCTAGAAGTGCTCTTTTTTTCCACCACATTGCTTTCCTCTATATACCCATTTGTGGTTAAAAGCTGGTCAGTAACCTGGAAATGAAGTCATCAGGATTATTTCAAAGGACAGAATTTTGGAGCGGAAGAGAAATAGTTTGTCCCTTGAGGCCTTTCAGATATTCATAGAAATTGAAGGAGAGTCAATTGTCTATGATTTTATTGCCTTTGCTATTTTACAGGGGAATCGGGGCGGGGGGGGAGGAACTGGTCTTGAATTTGAAGATGGGTATGCATTTTACATAGTATCTGCAGAGTGGGTTTTAAACTGCTTGATGTCAAAAAATAAGTACTTCTGTAGATGTTTTTGCTATTCCTTTTTCTGAATTTGTGGTTCCTTACCACAAAATGTTTCTTTCTTTTCTCTAGGGCTTCATTAGGATGTTTAGCATCGGTTACCTGATCCAATGTTGCCTTCGCATTCCATCCACCTTCCGGCATCTGTTTACAGAACCATCCCGGCTACTTTCCCTCTTCTACAACAAGGAAAATTTCCAGCTTGGAGCTTTTCTGGGATCTTTTGTCAGTATATACAAAGTAAGCTTATAACATACAGAAATTACAAATGCGCTCGTTTTTATTTCACTTTTCAGAATATCACAAAGAGCTAAAAAGTCTAGCCACTTACTACTGCTGATACTGTTTGCTACAGCATGTCACCGACAAATTCTATAGTATTGCAGTAATCAAATTATAAATAGAAAACTAGTCTTCCATTCTGTGAGTTTTCTATAATTTCTGAATAAACCAGGTGGATTTTCTAGCATGGTATCAGGATCAGGAGATAGGGAGTACTTCAGAGAAAGTGAATTCAGATTTCAAAGGGACTTGCAGTTACACAGAAACATTTTAGTGTAGACACAAGTAGTGACTGCAGTAACAGCAGTGTTGCCAGAGAGAAGCCATTTGCAGATTTTTTTTTTTGGCTCAAATATCTGGAATTCTTACTTGACACTAAATAGCAGGAGATTGCAGAACTTGATATCATGTGCAGCTGAGGAGACATTGCAGTTACCACTTGGAAATCTACCCTTCTACACCATTATATATGACAGATTGCAAACTGATAACGTGTTCATACAGCTTTGTTGGAATTAATCGAATTATGTTTATTTATGCCAAAAGAGAATGTGATGAAGCACATGCCCTAAGGGAGAATATATTGCGTAGTCCAGTGCTGAAGTGGCTTTTGCACTTTTATATTCTTAATCACACATGTCATTTTTCAACTGCCACTTTACTTGCTCTGCAAAGTTAAGACAATTCTGTATTACTCAGGGTAAATATTTCTTACTGAAAATTAAAAAAGCAAGTGTTATTTGTAAGCAAAACAGCATTTCACTTGACTTGCAGTCAGATTGAGAGACAAGAAGTTGTAAGATTACAGAGTTTAAAATTTTTTATGGCAAAGTGCAAATGGGTTGTTAGTTCAGTCTATTTGAAAATTACATTTTTGCTCAAACTTGAAGGAGCCTTTAGAGAAAAAAGTATTTAGACTGCAAAAGCTGAAATTATTTTGATGTCTTTTAAAAGCTCTACTTGCAAAGCGTAATTTAGTTCTGTAGATACTCCTTTTCAGATACTCTGACCTTTATTTACAGTTTATTAAGTATGTACTCGGTACTGGTGAGACTGTACCTGGAATACTGTGTTCAGTTTTGGGTCCCTTATGACAAGAAAGACATTGAGGTGCTGGAGCGTGTCCAGAGAAGGGCAACCAAGTTGGTGAAGGGTCTGGAGCACAAGTCCTATGAGGAGCGGCTGAGGGAGCTGGGGTTGTTCAGCCTGGAGAAAAGGAGGCTGAGGGGAGACCTTATCACTCTCTACAACCACCTGGAAGGGGGTTGTGGTGAGGTGGGGGTTGGTCTCTTCTCCCAAGTAACAAGCGATAGGACAAGAAGAAACAGCCTCAGGTTGCACCAGCGGAGGTTTAGATTGGATATTGGGGAAGAATTTCTTCCCCGAAAGCGTTGTCAGGCATTGGAACAGGCTGCCCAGGGAAGTGGTTGAGCCACCACCCCTGGAGGTATTGAAAAGATGTGTGGATGTGGTGCTTAGGGACATGGTTTAGTGGTGGACTTGGCAGTGCTGGGTTAATGGTTGGACTCGATGATCTTAAAGGTCTTTTCCAACCTAAATGATTCTGTGATTCTACTTTCTGTTATTGTTTGTATTCCATAACTTCCACAGATTTGGGTTGCATTATATTTTTCTTCTAGTTTGAAATAAGCATGTAAGGCAGCAGAGATTCTAGTCACTCCAAAAGATTGGACCACAGCCAAAAAAATTGAAATCCTTGATGCATTTTGAACCCAAAGGAATTGCATTATGGACTGCTTTTAAAAAAAGTCTGTCTTGTCCCTAAAAGCAGTCCAAAATGCCATCGTAGGATGGTAGTAGCTGTACTATTAATATTTTGTGTTCCCCTTACTGTTAATTAATGTCAGCAAACATGGTTTTGCAGAAAATAAGTTGGCCATGTCACCTGGTTTCTTTTTTTAAATTAGTTTACAAGTTTGAGTAGGAAAGTTGACTGTCACAGTTGCAGTGTATCAATTGCTTTTCAAGGAATTTATTTATTAAAAATGTGCACTGTAAACTAGCTAGTGAGATCACATCTGTGGTACTGTGTCCATTTTTGGACACAGATATGACTTAATTTCTTCCTTTAATTTTAATGTCTTTTTCAAGAGTGGGTTCACCGGCGGGCCACCAAGATGATTGAGGACTGGGTCATAGGATGTGCGAGGAGAAGCTGGGAGAACTGGGTTTTAAGCTGGAGTAAAAAGGCTCAGGGGGGATTTTATTGCTACCTACACCTCTTGGAGATGTGCAGTGATAGGATAAAAGGCAATGGTTACAAGCAGAAATACAGGAGATTCCAAAGAAATATAAGGAAATGCGTTTTCATGCGAAGGTGGCCAAATATTGGAACAGGTTGCCCAGTGAGGCTGTGTAGTTTCCATCCTTGGAGATGCTTAGAACTCAACTGGACAAGTTCCTGAGCTACCTGCTCTAATTAGGCCTGCTTCAGGCTAGACCAGATGGTCTCCAGAGGTCCCTTCCAACATAAATCATGCTTTAATTCCATGAAAAGCACACATTAGGTGGATTAAGAGGCTGACACATATCTCAAAGTAGACATCAGTGGGCTGTCATACTAAATTTTATAACGTTCTCTCACCACTGGATTGGGCCTTACTAAGCAGATCTTGAACCATTTGGAAGCAAGCAGAAATTTACCGGGGATGAAATTTGGAGACAAAGTATGGATTTCCAAAACAGTTGAAAAAACAACACAGAGGATGTGGCAGATGTGGAACAATCTGGATCATTTGGTAACCTGCAGTCATCCAAATGAAATATATTTTAATGCAGCCTAAGCCACAATTACATCCATTCTGGCCTGAACAGCTGTGTATTGTTGCTTGTGTCAACAAACAGGTTATTATGCGTTTCACTGTGTCTTTTAATCATATGCAGTTCTGACTTTTTAGATTAATGTGTTTTCCTGGTTCCAGAATTTATTGGATGTATGGAAAAATCATAAGGTGTTTGGTGTGTAGTTGAAAACAGACTTTGTCATGGGAAAGAGTCTGGACAACTACAGCAAATGAAGATGATGTGAATTTAAGATTAGCTTTGGAATTAGATTAGTATTCAAATTAGGTTGATCTGCTCTCTGATTTTGAAAGAAATGGTAGAGGTAAGCTTAATTAAAACACTGAAACGTTTCAGGTATTGTGGATTATGATATGGATCACACTACACTCTTCATTCATACTATGTGCTATATTACTAGCTTATAGAAGAATATCTCCAGTCTGTGTGTTATGAAAGAGAAGTAACTAGGGCTAATCCTGCTCTCTGTTCACCTGCAGGGTACTAGTTGCTTCCTGCGTTGGGTACGAAACCTAGATGATGAGCTTCATGCGCTTGTAGCTGGTGAGTCCATGACAAGAAGTTTGTATTGCCTCTGTTGGGACTCCGCAAATGTTTCTCTTGTCTGTCCTCCCATCCCCTTTTTGGACTTCTGTGATGAAAATAGGACTCTGCACATCAGAGTTGTGTCAGAGTGACAGTGGTGTTTCAAGTAGCTTCAAATAAAGAGTTGCAATTAAAATTGTACAGCAAATTCAACCAAATGGCGTGGGTTTTATGGTCAGCTTCAAAGACAATATATTACTGTACACACAAATGTGAACTTGTCCTTTAGTTTCCAACTCTACAGATGTGAGGTTCAAATACTGCCTTTTCCATACGTGACAGAATACACATGTGAAAGGATGGGCTCCGCTCGATCCAAGAAGGACCCTTTTGCCATGAAATCCGTGTGATGGTGCGGGCCCTTCCCTGCTCTTTGTGCATCTGTCACGTATTGGAACCTGAGAGGTCTCTCTGTTCCTTGTGGGATGAGAGAGGAAATTCGATGCTGTGCTACTGAGCACTGAACTACAGGTTTATTTCAGGGTTTCAAAGCTCTCTGGTTTTTAATGGCATAAACCCTATTTCGATGGGCAGCACAGGAACATCACTGAACTTTGTTGTAGCAACAGAAAGCATAAAGTTATGCAGTGTCTGTTGAGCTGACAAACTGCAAGAGCAACGATAAATCACAATCTTAACAGTACTTTTGTTTTCTAATTGTTACAGGGTGTCTAGCGGGAATTTCTATGATGTTTTACAAAAGTACTACTATCTCTATGTATCTGGTGTCCAAATTAGTAGAGGTAAGATATTACCCTCGTAACAGAGTGCTTCATTTCATCTATTTTTTCAGTGCAGAAAAAGAAAATGAACTTCACAGGCTTTGTCAGACAATTCCAGTATAATGCAAAGTTGTGTGGTGGTGGTGTGTTTCAGTACGTATGTGCCAAGAGGCAGTGCCATTCTGTGGTCTCATTTCTTCTTATTTTCTTTTCTGTGACTCATTTTTAAAGTCCTTTATCCACTGGTCTCCATGTATATTCTCCATGGATTTTTTTAATCTGATAGCCCTTTGCTTTGTAGCTTTTGCAGATTTTTTAAATCTGAAAGTTCCAAGAATGTCTATTCTGCCAGAAACGTAAATCAGACCTAGTCCTTAATTGCAGATTTATTGCCAAAAGCTACAGCTTAACTTCCTGCCTTTGTTCCCTAATTTTGGCATTCAGCAGTCTAAGATAACTGAAAATAGCTTAGGTTTTAGTCTATAGCTGGAGTTGTTTGTCAGTATTCAACTGATTGAATTCCCAGCCTTGCAACGAACTTTGTTCTAATTACTATTTTTCAGGCATGAATTATTTCTATGAAGCTGTTAAAATTAGGAGCCCAGGGAAAAAAAAAGTTTGTAGGTTTTGGGTATGTTGTATGTACTTTGCTCTACCAGCTTTTGATTTTTTTACTGTGATTTTTCCATAAAATCAGGACTTAGTCATGGTTATTTCCCCCACAGCACCACTGAAATAAATTGAGAGCATTCTCTTATTATGCATCATCCCCAAATCACAAAGCTTTCTGCTGCAGACCTCAAGGGCCTCGTTCCCTAGTGATATTTATCCACCTCCATTACCAGAGCAGAATTAATTTCAAAGAATATAAAAAGAAGGAACTTTTTTTTAAAGTATAAAATTAAACATAAAAAGGGAAGATACACTCTGTTTATTTTTGCTCTTTGTAATCCTAGATCAAGCTCTGAAGGTAGTTCACATATTGGTTATATAAAAGCAAATCTGAGTTATCCATATTGACTTTTAGAACACCAGTTGTAAAAAACCAATATTATCTTGTATTGCTGATGGTTTTCTCTGGACTTTGAGACATTGTGGCTGCAGTGAAGTAAGAAAAGTGCTGTGTGTTCTTTCTTTTTTTTTTTTTTTACTACTTTTATCATCTTATGCGAGCCAAGGGTAACTGACCAAAGAGGCGTGTGCTGCTTTGGAAGGTCAAGCTGTGCTCAGGAAAATAAACTTTACATGTTTTCTCAGAAAGAAAAGTATGTGATTTCAAGCTGTTTAAGAACAGTGAATATTCACTTTGTTGGAATAGTTATTGCATTGTTCTTTTGCTTTTTTAAAATGAAGAATTTAACAGAGCAAACTTTCCCTTTTTTATCTTTAAGATCTATACTACCCTTTTAACACCCAACCTGTTGCTAGATCCTGTTCTATACATTAATAGCCTCTTATTCTGTTGATCTTGGATAACTTCTATGAGCTATCTCAATGTCATGTTTGTGGACGTATACAACAATATATGAGCACAAGTTAGTAATGTTGACATGTTACTTTGAAAAGGTAAAATTAAAAAGTTAAAAGGTACTTTTACTAGTATCTCCTTTTGTTCAGGATTTCTTGTTTATTTTTATAGACTATATACTTCAAGGGCATTGAAGCAGGGAAGGTTCCCTACTTTCCTCATGCAGACAGCGTCATCTATGCCATTTCTACATCGATTTGCTTTCAGGCAGTAAGTATGTTGTCTTCTAACAGAATACAAAGTTGTTCTAGTTTAAGTCAAATGTTGAATGAAATGCAGAGTACAGGGTTACAGTGATACAGAAAAGACAGTGCGATGTAGTGATTCCAGCAAGATGCTGTGAATTAGGGCTCCTGCGTCCTGCTTCTGAGTGCCACAGTGGGAAGATCATTTCTAGGACTCAAATTTCTCATCTGCTTATAGCAGAATACATTATACAAAGCACTGAATTCTTTGGAAAGGATCTCAAAATGCATTGCCCGAGAAGATGAACATAAATATATGGGCTTTCATAAACATATGAACAGACTGTTTCTCAACATATACAAACAATATATTGTAATATTTTATGCTTCTTTAATCAACTAGAAGTTTTCACTTTCAGCTAAGTTGAACTAAAGCTGCTTATTTGAAAGCATCTGCAAAAATTAGGAAAATCTGAAGTTTTATGTTTGAAACAAGCTGTAGTGGTCATCTTTTGCACTTTCCAAGTCAGTTATGTGCCTTCACCCTCAGTCCTTTTATTGGCTGTGTCAGCTAGAAAAGCTCCTTTTCAGTGGTACCCAAATTACTCTACTATTCCACATCTCTCCATTTCTAGACCTGCTGCTGAAACATCCCACTGAATGTTTTCCAGGCCTCCATAACTATATGTATTTTTTTGTACCCCTCAATAAAGAGAATATAAAATGACCCTAAAGCAGTCTTTTGCTGTCTTGTGCTTAACAGGACAGTTCCACTCCTCCTCCTCATTGCTCCCATATATGCGGGAATATCTTTCATTCTAGTATCAAAGTGAACTGATATTTTAGTGCCTGGGATGTGCCTGAAGGGCTGCAGCACTGAAATCCCCAAAATACTATTGGCAAGGACCATTGTATGAGGCCGACAGAAGTAAAGTTAATATGAGAAAAAGAGGAAAGGGTTTTTTCATTACTCAATAACTAGCTGGAAAAGGAGCCCAAGACTGGAAAGAAATTACTGGGTTTAGGAGGGAGGAAGGAGGGAGAAATTAGCAAAGGGGTCTATGCTAAGATGTTCGTTACTCTTTATATTCCTAAGTGACCTGGTAAAGTAATGGAATAGAGAGAAGACAAGGATTTTGGTTATATAACGTCATTTAAGATACGTAACATGAAATATAAAGATGACTGACTACAAGAAATAGTAGATCACAAAATGCAGAGTGAGCGAGGGATAGAATAGCAGGTAAATTTGGCATCCACGAGTGCAAAATCATGTATGTAGGAATAATAAGGATTATGGCTGCTTTCTCTGCAACGAGATCGAAGTTAATTGCCACCACTTTTGAAAGATAGTCTTCTGGGAATATCAGTCTGGGCTGGTGGTGGTTATATAGAGCATCAAATTCAGCTGTGAGTGGTTCGTCTACTGACAGTACTGGACCTTGGCAGGTGATCACAGCTGCTTTTGGTCCATGAGTCAAGAGAAGATTTTAAAAAAAAAAAAAATTAAAAAATAATATATATTTCCATAACTGTCCTTTCACTGATTTTGATTACATACAACGTAATGTAGCAGGTGAAGCTTTTGCCTGACGCTGTCAGCTGGCTCTGACAGAATACTCTCCTTGCAGGCTGTCATGGAAGTTCAGAACCTGAGACCTTCGTACTGGAAATTTCTTTTACGACTAACAAAGGGCAGGTATGTAATCAGGGCTATGTTATGGCTTGTCTAAACACGTCATTGATCGCATTCAACTTTCTATGTCATTTGCTTTCAACAGCAGAGCCGTAGAGTACGTATGGGCTAATTTCCTGAGTATTTACTTTGCTTTTCAAATGGTTTCCAGTCCACTTGAAGTCCTTTGCTGCTGAAGCGACACTCCTAGGTTTAGTCTAATGACAGGAGTAAAGACTTAAATCTAGTTAAGACTGTTGAGCAGATGGGTGGTTTACTTGAAGGCTTTTTTATCTTTAGTTCACTTGGAGGGTGGAATGCTTTGGGATTTCAGTGGAATACGAAGAATCCGGTAAACAACTACAGGAGTTGAAGAAATCTGTATGTACGGTGATCAACAACATGGTTAAAAGCATTATTAGGAATGTCAGAGTATTTCCTAAGAATACTGTGAAGATTCAATAGTTTTTTGCAGGACATCTATTTCGGTTAGGAAAGGAATTCTTTTTCTTGGAAAACTAATGAAAAATTTTCACTGATTATAACCATAAATTTACACTGTAATATCTTACTGGATATTTTTTCTCTTATTTGCTGCGGAGATCTAAAATGCTTACCATTTAAAATAGACTTGGCCGTAACCGATTTATAAAAATACAATTCAGTGAAGTGTACACTGTTATACTGATGTAGTACGTGACAGAAACAAGGCATCCAAATCTTGATGTAGGTCACTGTATGAATGGGATTACAAAAGGTAACGCTTGTGACAGCAGGCTCTCCAGGCTATAAAAACAGAAGTGAAATCAGAGGCCGGTCCCTGGAGCATGTTGAACCTACGCTCCCCATGGCACAGTACACTCTTAGCTGGACACGAGGTGACTGAATACATCGCTGGACGTAGTGGGATGCTTTCCTTGGGACGCCTGGAGGCCGTCTGCAGGCAACCTCGGAGGCCATACAAACACGATACGGGGATGATGTCAGTGCAGATGTCCAATTTTGGCTGCATTTTTCCCTCTTGTGCTAATCCTAAGGTTGCTTTAGTTGAAAGAGAGGAGGGAGAAGAAATTCTATTCTGCTCGGGTTTTTTATCTGAAGTAAATCTCTGTAATAGTAATTTTGACACTCTCTCCATAGAGGCAGATTCTTTTGATGTTTCATAGGTCTTTCGCTCAACACTGCTGAAGACTAAAGAGATGGAAATAGATTGTAACACCCATAAAATTGTTATCCACACTTGGGCAGGCATGGCCAGAGTTTGTGAGGCTGGGATGAGAAAGAAGAGTAGTATATTAGAGTAGTATATTTTGGGTTTACTTTTTTTGTGAAGTTAAAAGTAGAAGGGGACTCTCTCCTTTCCCCTCTTCCTCAGGTTGTGTTATATAAAGTATATTTACACAAAGCACTGTTAATCAGATTTGTCAATTGATTTTTTTTTTATTAAATCTTTATTGCCCGGGATGAAAAACTTGTAGTCTCCAAACAGTGCAGGCTGAAGCCTGTATTTCAAAGATTTGGATAGTCTTTTATGAAGTGAAATAACTTTAATAATTTTATAAAGAAATTAAATTAATCCTTTTAAAAATATAATTTTTAATATTTTTTTTTCCAAAAGTAAACGAATAATCTGTTCACTCTCTAATGTCTCTTCTTTTTCAGGTTTGCTCTCATGAACAGGAAAGTTTTAGATGTATTTGGTACTGAAGCATCTAAGAACTTCAAGGATTTCACACCTAAGCTTGACCCAAGATACACGGTTGTGCCACCAGAGCTACCGCTGGAGCTGTCTTGAAAACGATAGTATATCTTGTCATTGAATGTGATCAACGTTTTGTCCTGAAAAGTTAATTAACTTAACAGTTGTATATATGGAGGAGGGCTTGGGCTCCACTTCAGTATTGTTTCAATGAGAAATGCTTTTTACCAATCAAAAATACTGAAGCTTTGCAAGAAGGTGTAGCTTTGTGATTAAGCCCCTTCCATACACAGAAAATATTTCTGGATTACTGTAGTTGGCTGACAGTACGGTAGGTTCCTGAAAGAATTAAACAAATGAGTAATATATTTAGAGAAGAGAGGTAAAACATAAATATGCATAATAATTTCAAAAATTCTGTAGGTCATACCAGTAGAATATTTCTTGGTAAAACTAAAAGTAATTCTTAATTTACAAAGGAAGACAAATGGCGTAGTTTAGGTCCGAACTGTTACCTGATCTTAAAACTATTGCAGTCGGGTGAAAATGCCTCCTTGGCTTTCTAAATTGCGTCACTGATTTATCTCAAAAGAGCCACCGCCCGCTCATTATTTAAAATTACAGTATTTTTACACAGCCATGGTTGCAAAATAAGGCATTCCTTCGGAAAAGAAAATGCGTATTAATTCAGAAGTCACATTCCAGGGCTGTAAATCCCACTGACGATACGGATAACAGACAAGGAAAATAAGGCAGTACCAGCGAGCGCTGCGCGGCGAGGAGCAGCGGGGTGTGGTGGTCAGTATCTGCCAAGTGGAAAATGACAAAACCGGCAGAGGAAGGAATGAAACGTTCCAGCCTCTGAGATGGTGCTGGAAACAGCAGACAGTTACAAAAATAAAAAAGCCAAGAACAAAACAAAACAAAACAAAAAAATCCCCCAAAATACACTGAAATTAAATGTTTATTTTTAAAGGGCTTGACATTGTCGCTTTAGATGGCAGCGGGTTGTTTGTCAAGCTGCGACGCCAGCCGGCATTTCCAGCGTCCTTTAAAAGAGAACTGACCCCTGAGGTTAGACCGTTACAAGAGAACAGTTTTGACGATCGCATTAATAGTATTTTTTCCCTGTACTCAGTGAAGAGTGGTTTTCCGTCAGTCCATCAGCCAGCCACGGCTGGGACAGTTACATTAAGTTTAATATGGTACTCAGTGCAAGTAACTACCTACGCAAATTCCATCTCATTTTTATCCTGCGTACTTCCGCAGATAATAGTTTGTGTTCTAAAGCGAGACCTTGACGTGCTAATTGCTTTTTTTGCTTTTGGGGGCTTTTAGTTTTTTATTAGAATCCATTCAGATGTTGCTGAATGGTGTTTGTTACCCTAGAACTTAATGAAAAGATGAACTATATTCACATTCAACTGAAAAGAGACGAGGTAAGCCAGGAAATGGAAACTGCAGTAGGTTGCATGTATTTTAAAAAGAAAAAAGAAGAAATCAATGTTTTATCAAAGTCTTTGTCAGATGACATGAATTGGATTAATTAATAGAATCCTTGTCTTGTAACACTGTAATCCTACCCCAGCCTTAAGCATATTTTAATTCCCATTAGTTTAATTTCTTATTACTGAATATGCAGTAATTCTTATCAGATTTACAGAAATGTCATGAAAATTGTACCAATCTGTGCACAAAATCTGCTTCTTCATCAGCTACTGTAACAGGGATGCTTTATCACTGTTACTAAAGGTGCTTCATCCTTTAAAACAGTGGTTGTCCAAGTTAGTGTGAATAAAGTTCTGCAAGCTAGTTTGTATGCAATATTTTATTGCTTGAAATATTATACTAAAATTCCTCAAAAGGAAATAAAAGTTAATTCAACAAGAACTTTAAAAGGATTGTAATAGGTTTGTAGTGTTTTTCCACTGGAATATGGTCTAAAATATTTGACCTTGTAAAGTCTGAGAAGTTATATATTTTAGGTAATATCTTAGAGCTCACACGCTATATTATGAATACTTTCTAGTGTAACTATATACCATTCTCAAACTTCAAGATATTTTATAGATGGATTAATTTTCTTCACTGGAATGACAATTGTGATTGTTTCTCTATTTGAGTTAAAACAAATCCAAGTACTACATCTCAGCAGCTAAACGACAATTTTGCCTATGTTTTCTTGCTTCCAAAATTCACAGTCCTTGTTTTGAGTTCTTTTCATGTAATATAAAAAGAAATTAAAAATTTTTAAATTATTTTTATTCAAATCAAGTATATGTAAGAGAAAAAAGGATAAAGTCCTAATGTTTTTCCCAATAATAAACAGTTGCTGCTTGAAAAAGTGGCTTTTTGTTGATGTTGTTGCTAATAAGCCATCCGGAGTCATAATGAAGTAATACTTGGTGTTGAAGGGACACCAGGAATGTGACTGAGCATTTAAATTGCGCATATTTATTACAAAGTGAAGTCCTAACGCAGTGTAAATGAAGAGGTGATGCCAGAGCAGTTGAGCTCACAACTTCAGCTCTGCGCTTCCACGGGTGATTATGCAATATGGGTTGATGTTATTTAATTTTTCTGTTTTAAACAGAGAAAGCCACATAGCCCGTTATGAAGGCAGCGAAATGGTTGGCAGAGCTGCTTAAGGAGCAGCAGAATTCAGCAGTCGGGATCTAGAGTTTTCCCCTCCCAATCCAAGGCGTTCTGGCTGTGGCGAAGATATATGTGCAAAATCCCAAAGTGAAGGTTGCAGTCATTCTTTTATCTTTTGTGATGGATACTTGTTAATATCCTGTGCCTGCCGTCTTTCAGCTGATTTTCAGGCTGCATGAGATTGCTCCTGTTGCAGACCTTCACTGCTTATTCCCAGTCCTTGTAGGAGGTGATGATAGAGGTGCTGACATCTGCCACTGACATCCACTAAAGGAGAGGATTATTTCTTTTACAGCATCATTTTAAATGTAGTACAAGGCTGAGATTAGTGCAGATTTACTGGGTTCATGTGTGGTAGATACTTCCACCAGGGAGCGCATGAAGGCATACAGAAATTTTGATTTTTTAGAGGGCTAGTAATAAAAGCAAATAGTGCCTACAGTGGCACATTTTTAGTTTTTATAGCTAATGCTGTCTCAGTTTATGAGGAAAATGAGTAAAACATCAGAACTGCTTCAGTGTAGATGGAGTGATTTCACTGCTGAAGGTGAAAGCTTGAGCTTCCCTTGTATTGTCTCACACCTGGGTCTCCAGGACAATCTCAGAAGTTCTGCCTTCTGCAGGTGACATCTCTCCAGGCAAGGCTGCTCTGACAAAATACGGGTTTCTGTTGTGTGGTCAAGAAACTCCATGTTCCTCATCGTTTCTCAACCACAATGAGAACCAAGATGCCTTCCATAATGTGGACAACCTGTTCTCCTAGCAGCTTCCCACACCTCCCATAGCAGACCTGGGACCCTTTTACCCCAGCCATCTTAGATGGGACATTTCTGAGAACTGTCAGTAAGAATAAAAAATAATTTTCAGAAAACTTGTTGGGTTGTTCCCCCTCTCCTTTGAGAGTTTCCTTTCCTTTTGCCCAGGGCACTGTGCTTTTTGCATTTGAGGATGTGGGAAGGGGTTTGTTCCAGATGCTTGGTGACATCTCAGGCAGAGAGGTCTGCTGTGGTCTGAGCTCAGCCCTGTGCCTGGTGAGTTAAAAATTCAGGACAGCTTGTGTGAAAATGCTTCAATTTCCAACTCTGCCAGAGGAAAATATTTCTGGACAAGTGGTCCTGGGGTGGGTGTGCACTGACAAGGCACAAAAGGACAGAGAACAAGAAAATCAGTGATGCTTACACTGAGCTTTTACTTTGTTTAGGATTTTTTTTCCACAACTACTTTCAACATGGAGTGGAGGCAGGGCCCAGGCTCTGTACATCAGCATCAGGGTTATGAATCCTTGCCGTGACGCGGCAGAAACATAGGACCAGGCGGAGGGTGGTACGTAGCAAAATACAGTTGGGACCAGCGAAGTCATTTTGGTGGCCATAGCTTTGCGCCTAAATCCTGGTCTGGAAGTTTCCATTTCCAGATTTGTGTTTCTAAGCAGCGAGCCCTTCACCAAGGAGACTGGCATTTCCCTGGCTTCAGCCCTTGTTCTGCATCCCGATGAATCTAGCACTGGGGGTACTTGCAGGTGACTCAGTTTGGGGCTGGGTCTCACTTTCACAAGTTGCCTCCTTTTACAAAACAAACATGTTTTCTCCCACTCCTTTGAGGATACAATGGAAGAGTTTGACGCTTTCCCTTGAGCTACACAGTTTCATGGGTTTTCTTATTTAGTAGAAGATCTTGGAAGTTTTATTTATCCTATAGGTACATTTACAGTAATATTTGAGGCAAGGATATTTTTTCCCCCACAAGGAGCTTAATATTGCCGTTGTGGATGTACTGGCAAAATGACCCAATGCTCCCTCTTGCCTTTGGCCACATTAAAATGGGATCGCTTCACTCAGGACACAGCACCCACCTTTTGCAGCCGATGGATTATGTCCTTCCATCTCCACCAAATATGACACTCGTTTCACCAACCGGCTCCTTTGAACGTGGCAGGCAGAAACGTGAATTAGACCCCACTTTGATCTTAAGGACTTTTTTTTTCCTTGGCACAGGCCAGGGAGTTTCCCACTTGCTAATTAAAACAGAGAGAGGTCAGAAGAATTTTAAATATTAATGCCAAGGCTTTACCCAGGGTGGAAGAGGCTGGCTGAAAATGCAGGCAGACGATTAATCTTCTCATGCCGGTGGAATCCAATCAGTGTTTTTTTCCCCCTCAGCTGCCACAACAGAGACATAAAAAACGCTGCTGTGGCTGTCTGAGCAGGAGCTGACGGGACTGTTCCCAGGACAGCTTGAAGGTTACAGAAGACCTGATCACACAGGGTCAGGGACAAAAGCAAGGCTTTTTTCTGTGTTTTCCTATTATTTTAAAGAGTGAAGACCTGCTTTCCCATTGCAGGCAGTAAAAGCTTGCAAGAAGGGGCCCATTGGGCCGAGGTGAGCAGACCTGGTGTGAGAGAGTCCCACATTAAAACGCTGCTGCTTGCACCGTTTTGATACAAACATAAAAAAAGTTCTGAACAACCCAGAAACGTTGTTTTGCTCATTGTCTATTGGCTGTAAAAAAAAAAAACAAAACCCAAATCAGGCATTTCCAGCCCAGGTCACTTGTGATTATATTCACAAGCAGATTTAACGTCTCAAACCATCTTGCACTGCGATGCTCTTAGGTTTCCTTGGACACAAATAATATTATCCTGTAAACAATTTGAAACTGAGGCAGAAAGTGACCCCCGGGTTCACCGGTGACATCCCCTGGGTGGTGCCCGCAGCCCGGTGGGAGAGGACAGCTCTGGGCTGGCTGTGCTGGCTGTACGAGGCAAAGTCTGGCCTCTTCTACAGCAACGCGTCTCACCATCTCCTCCACTCTGAGACCTGGCAGCACCAAAGCAAGCTGAAGCTTAAGCAGATTTAAAGCAAATTTTAAAAAAAGGAAGCTTTTTCTCCCTCCATGGCGTATAACTGGGCTGGGGAACTCCTTGCCTGTGACCATTTACAGGAGTTGAAAAAGTGACCGAAAGATCAGCTCTAACGATACCCAAAGGCTTAAAAAAGGCAACGGCTCACGCGGAGAAATTCTCACCCCGTTGTCGTCGCTGCCGCGTGGGTTTGAAACTGTA